TGGTACATGTATAAAAATGCCTAGAGGGGGCCCTTCTTAAAAACGGAGTGACCATGCAAGACGAGTGACTAATGATGAGTGAAGAAGGCCACCAAGACACCTATGACTTCTCTGAAGTAGTTACAATCTTCATCAGTTGAGTGGGGAGAGGCTGTGCATGCAAGAACTGTTTTCCTTTCTTTAACAGTCAACGAAGAGTGGCAAAGAGAAGCCACTATTGAAAAAAAGCTCATATTAGATCTTAACTAATTGAATTTCCCTTCTGGGATAAATAAAGTATTTTTCATTTCATTTCAACTACAGTTTGCCAGAAGGCATGTGTGAGACTCTGAAGTCCCCTAGAAAAAAGTTCTTTGGTCTGATTTGGTCCCAGAATTCAACTTTTTCGCCATCAGATGAGATGCTATGTTTGGTACACACCAAACACTGCACACCATCACAATCACATCATCTCCACTGTGAAGCACGGTGGTGGCAGCATCATGATGTGAAGCATGGTGGTGGCAGCATCATGATGTGAAGCACGGTGGTGGCAGCATCATGATGTGAAGCATGGTGGCGGCAGCATCATGATGTGAAGCATGGTGGTGGCAGCATTGCGATGTGGGGATGCTTCTCAGCAGCAGGCCCTGAAAGGCTAGTAAAGGCAGAGGGTAAAATACATGTAGCACAGTATTGGTAAATCCCAGAGGAGAACCTAACTGTAAGGGAAATGCTACTTGGGACTAGATTTGTTTTCCAGGAAGACAATGACCCAAAGCATAAGTCAAAGCTGCACAGAAATGGTTTGAAGACAACACTGCAGTGTCCGAGTCAGAATCAAGACCTCAATCTAATTGAGAATTTACGACGGGCCTTAAAAATAGGTCTATTTGCTTCTGTGCAACCTAACAGAGTTTGAGAAGAAAAATGGGGTAAAATGTCAGTGTCCAGATGTTCGAGGCTAAATGAGATCCATCCACACAGGCTCCATGCTGTAATTGTGGCCAAAAGTGCATCAACTAAATACAAAGTTGAGGGAGGTAAATACTTTTGCAATCACTTATTTTACATGTTACTATTATTGATATTATTTTGAAGGATTGTGTCTTTACTTTGAATTTAAACACTCATTTTTCAGTAAATTTTCAACCAGTTAAATTATACTGATCATGATTCAATCTTGAAGGGGATCATTCAAAGGAGGAAAACTTCCAAGGTGCTGAAGATTTTTTTTATAGGCACTGTAGCACTTTTAAAATTGCATAAACATTTTTGTGTGAATATTGGAATGAGATATTTGGTATTTGTGGAAATGTGTGAGAATACGTCCTTGTTGAGGGCTCCTTTTCTGTTGTCACTAAGATCCTATCACCAAACATGGCACACACAGTGGAAACAGTGTAGATGTACACACACTGAAGACAGAATGTGGAAAAAAGAAAGCCTGGCGGTCCTTGTGAAGTTGGTAGAAAAGCCAATTCTGCTGTTGACTCACAGAAACAGGTGGACTGCTTCTCAGTTCAGGAACAACACACAGTTTGAGTTAAGATAAAAATAAAAAAAACAAAAAACTTCTAAAGCAGCATGCCTCTCCAGGGCTGCTGTTGGAAGAAGGAAATGTGTTTGTTTGTTGAGATAGTAAAATGATCAAACATAATTCTTGTTCAGACAGAACGGAATTCTTCCATTCTTGTTATAGACGTATGTTTAGCAAATGACACTGAATAATTTTTGTTTCCCTTACTCAAATATGAGTAGCAGAACATGCAGCCCATGGTTGGAGCATGACAATCAGCTGCTATTTACTAAAGCAAAAGTTTTGCGAGAGATTTGCAGCAAAGAAATAAGTTTTCAAAAAAAACGTTGCCACAAATGGTTAATGTTTAGCAACATTCTGGCAACAAGAAAAGTTTGCCACCACCAGCAAACATACTGATGGATGGTTTGCCATCACAGTTTTCAAGGAGTATTAAACTTCCTGCGTCTATGTTTGTCAACGACAGTTTGGCAACAGTCTCACAATCACAATGTTGCCGCAAGTTTGGAGCAAGTTTGGATGCTGTCAATTAGATCGTTGGCAAACTTGCAATAGACTTTCGGCTTATTTTGTGGAAAAACTGTGGCCACAACGAGAAGGATACAGGTTTGAATCTGCTGGTCTGCTCACCAAGTGACTGTATGGGTTTCCTGCATGTGCTTTGGTTTTGTCCCACAGTCCAAAGATATAAATGAAAGGTTAAATGGTGAATCTAAATTGGCCATAGGTGTGACTGAGTGACTGACTGACTTGTGACTGAGCATTAATGGTTGCCACCTGGTGTTAGCTGAAGTCATAGGTAGGATAGAAAAGATGGGTGTAGTCAGTGTGACATCAGTCATTGGTTTGCAGAATACTGTTTTACAGCCTTCAGTCTGTTGCCATTTTTGTCTTTGGAATTTGACATAATAGATTAGATCTGACACCAAAGATGCATTCGATACAGCAGCAAACTGTCAATCACAAGGTTGACCTGTCCTAAAACATACCCTGTTTTATTGTTTGTTTAACTCTAAATCCAACCATAAGTAACTAAATAAAGATCAGGTTGTATTGAAGGAGTCTTGAAACTACTGACTGAGACCATAAACTTATTAGGAAAATGTTGACTAAGGTCACAATTTAATGGAGAAAGGAGGGTAATTTTTTCATTTCATAGACTTTTATTTATAAGGTGTGTCAGGAAAGTTTCAGGACTGGTGTCACAAAAGATATTTGAAATCCAAACTACAAACTACAAGTTTTCCCTTCAAAGTAATCCCCCTGTAGTCTAACTTACTTTCCCAGCCTTCTCTGCCACGCCGCCATGCACTCCTGGAAGGATTCTTCCAGGATCCTCCACAGCTCCGTCATCACAGCCATCTTGATGTCGTCCACGTCTTCTAAACGGGTCCCCTTGATGACCCCCTTGAGCTTGGGGAAGAGGAAAAAAATCCCACGGAGCCAGGTGGGGTGGGTAGGGAGGTTGCTCCAGCACGGCGATGTTCTTCTCAGCCAGGAACTGTGGGATGCTCAGGGCATTGTGAGCAGGTGCGTTGTCATGGTGAAGCAGCCACGACTTGTCCTGCCACAACTCTTGCCTCATCTCTGAACTGAACGAAACAAACGCTGCAGGATCTCCTTGTAGACGTGCTGGTTGATCGTCTGAAGGGGAAAACTCGTAGTTTGTAGTTTGGGTTTGAAATATATTTTGGAATTTTTATGACACACCTCGTAGTCAGATTTTTTTTTAGGCTGTTAGAGAGAATGCAGGTTTAAGTCACTTGTGCATTGGCTTCACTTTTCAAACTTAAAAGTCTGTCCTTTATATACAGTTTATGGTTCCAGCAGGGTGATAATGAGACCTTTGTCGCTACTGGCACACATGTTGACTGGTGGCTTGCCACCACAGTTTGACAGTAGTGCTAAACTTCTAGTAAGCCTCTGGTAACTTACATTTTTCATTAGTGCTAAACATGTTAGTTTATGTTTGCCATAGATAGCCTTACTGGCAATAATGGCCAAAAGCTGTAGTTAGTCTTTGGAAACACTACTATACCTTTGCAGCAAGTTCACATTTTCATATGCATTTTAGATCTACTACAAACTAGTGGTGGAGTTCTAACTGATAATGTGGACAAATTAAGGCAGGTTGCCCAACAACAAGAAGGTTGCCGGTTTAAACCTGCTGGTCAGCTCTACCTACATTGGGTTCCTCCAAGTGCAAGTGCCTGGTGTCTCCATCCCCACAGTACAAGCACATGCATGAATGGCTAGCTGGTTACAGCCAGCTAGCCATAGCCCCAGTAGGTCAGCTGGATAGACTCAGCAGGTACACCCTTTCAGTTGTCTCAATTAAATGTCTTGGGTGAGTTAAACACATGTAGCAGTGATCAGAACTCTGAAAACCTTGACTTGGCTTTATCTTCCTATATTATGGCAACTTCACAGGTAATTAAGAAGCAAATTGTTCTTAGCATCAACTGATGATTCATATAAATTTACCTAAATTTGGATAACTGTGAGGGATGCAAGGTGTATCGATGGTTACACCGTTGCCTCGCAGAAAGAAGGTCGCTGGTTCGCATCCCAGTGATGACACTTGGGATCTTTTCTGCATGGGTGCATGCGTGGGTTCTCTCCGGGTTCTCCGGCTTCCTCCCCCACGGTCCAAAAACATGTTGAGGTTAATTGGTGATTCTAAATTGTCTGTAGGTGTGAATGTGAGTGTGCTTGGTTGTCTGTCTCTAAGTATAGCCCTGTGATAGACTGGTGACCTGTCCAGGGTGTCCCCTGCCTTCGGGATAGGCTCCAGTCCCCCCACGACCCTAGTGAGGATTAAGCTGTGTATAGATACTGGATGGCTAACTGTGTGCGAGCTAATGCAGATGGAACGGTATCAAAATGGCAGTAGTCTACACTCTAAGCAGCAAGTTGATCAAATACATCAATTTCAATTTTTTGTTGTCTTTGCTGATTTTACATTAACACACAAATCTACAATTCTAATAACATTTGTAAATTAGATTAAATTAGATCACTTTTCTTATCATTGTTGAGCCAAAAAGATTCAATTACCACAAGTGCCATTGGTAAAGTTGTGGCACTATACAGTAAAATTAAGTGCAGCTGTGGCTCAGGTGGGAGAGCGGGTTGTCCTCTAACTGCAAGGTTGGCGGTTTGATCCCCCTCCACAGTCTGAGTGTCCTTGGGCAAGACACTGAACCCAAGGCTGCTCCCAATGGCAGGCTAGCGCCTTGCATGGTAGCTCTGTTGCCATTGGTGTATGAATTGGTGTGAATGGGTGAATAAGAAACACATTGTAAAGTGCTTTGAGTACCACTAAGGTAGAAAAAAGCACCACATGAGTGCAGACCATTTAGCAATATTGTAAATTTATACATTTAAACAAAAAAAAAAACAAGCAAGCAAATAGATTTTTTGCTGTCATGAATTTATTTGCCATACACTGATGCTGACATGATATTGCATATACATAGTCGATATCACAAGCTCTTTATTCTGAATAGATTGTAGGAAGATTGGGCAAGACACTGGACCAGAAATTCACAAAAGACAGCCTCATCTTCTCTCCTACGTAGTTTTTGTTCATGTTATTATGGATCTCCAGATACTGGTGTCCACTGCTGGTGAACTGGGGCCAGGTAGCGGGCACACTCAGGCCTCCTTTGTTGGGATCACTGCGGACAAAACCAGAGAAAAGATAAAATGAAATGATGCAGTTATAGTTTTCTATTTCCGTGATTCAGGTGTGTTTCTGTGATACTCCCATGTTTTGTGTCTGCAGAATCATACCCAGTTTTGGCAAAGTTGGTCCAGTAGGCAATCATGTAGCCAGACAGGTCACGATGGCTAGGCCAGTATCCCAGCGGTGTGGCGAAAGGCTTTCCGAACACGTACTGCAGGTCGTCAGCGTGGTCAGCTCCCATCCAGCTGGGGTAGGGCATGACGAGACCGCCCAAACGGCTGGGCTCAGAGAATAGATAGGAGTAGGTGCGTCCAGTTCTTTAAAGAGATGGAGAAAAAAACTTGTCACAAAAACTACATCAACGACTGGGGCACTCTGAAATACTAAAACCTTATTAAGTCTTAGATAATCCCAAATAAGTGCCCATTCTCATGGACTGTATTGTGCTGTCAAACCTGTCACCATTTATTTTGTCTGCTACATTGCTGTTAATGTCATGTTTACAGACAGGTAGCCAATGTACCACACTAAAAATTAAGTAACCCAGTAGCAGTTAAGGAAAAGTTACGTTCAATTTTTATTCCCCATCCTTCTAAAGAAATGTGGGGGGAAAAAGCACTTATGAGTAAACTGACAGCGACATTATTCGAACAAGATCTTTTTTTTTTCACCTAGCATTGGAAGCATGAAGGTAAAGGGCAGCCTGTGTAGGAACCAGGAAAATGTAGTCGGTTCCAATCGCCACAACGGTTTTCTTGATGGTCTCCCAGCTGGGGCTCGTCCCCCAGTTTGCGGTGTATGTGGAATAAGCGTTGTTCAAACCAGCTGCACCCTTCTCCTTTGTGTAGGCACCCAAGAGTCTCTTCACATCGTCTCTGTAATATAGGAGAGAGGGTTTTGAGGTTTGATAAAACACCTTCCTGTCACCAAAACTACCAATAGTGCAACAACTCTCTAATCTGCAGTTACTGGCCTCCCCAACAACCACAGTTTTGATTGTTCTCTTTTGCATTGTCTGTTCTTCATATGCTAACCTTTATTCTCTGCACTATTCTCTCACCCCAACTGGTTGAGGCAGATGCTGGCCCCCCTGAGCCTGGTTCTGTCTGAGGTTTTCTCTCTTGGTAAAAAGGAGTCTTCTAACCAAACTAGTTGTATGCTCAAAGGGAATACAAAAAAAACTTGGGATTTGTTGGGTTTCTCCATATAAATTTGGTTACGTTGATGCCTTACTATGCAAAGTGCCTTGAGGTGAAACGTGCTGTGAATTAGCACTGTATGAATAAAGCAAATTTCAGCTGAACTGAATTCTAACCAAAGTTTGGTATGATGCTCTGAGTAAATACATTTTGAAAATATAATGGTTTCACACCTATCAAATGGCTTGAACTCACATTGGGGTGTCCAACACGTTAGAGTTGATTGATGGAACATCCAGGGCAGTGAAGAGATGCCCGTCCATGTCGTTGACTCCAGCAATGTAGTCAATGTCGGCTGCATTGTGGAACAAGTTGGAAGGGTCATCCGGCAAAAAATCGCCATCGATCACAGGAGACAGGACCAGGTTGAATACAATAGGATCTGACAAGCAGAGACAATCAATCAGATAATGTATTATTTACAGTACCAGCTATGCATTTTATGCATCTGACATTGCCATTTTGCTGAGGGTCATTATGGTTGATACGGTTTTTCAGGTCTAATACTATTATAAGTAGTCAAGGAGCCTAATAACTAATATCTGAAAGTGACACATATGTATTTGCAGTGAAACTGAAAATCTGTTATTTATGTTTTACGTGGGTTTGATGACAGGAGAAATTTTGAACAATTTCAATTTGATAGGTTACCACTCATGATGGGTAACCAATCAGATACTGATGAGTGTGGGGCAATGCTCAAGACCACAGAGTGGTGACTAACATAAAGACATTTTGTTTATCTGGAATCATATAAAAACAAACAAGACCAGTAACTGTTTAAATGCTAAATATCAGCTTTGACAGTCAACAAGGCTGCTAATTGGTCAACCCCTTAATGGTTGACGAGACACAGAAATGAATGTGTCATGCTTGGAATTGACGGATGTATTACACTGCCAGCATCACGTTTGCTTGTACTCATCAAAACATTAAAGTTCAATTCATTGTGGTCTGGTAGAAACGGTCAACACAATGTCTAAGATGAGAATGTAAACTCGCGCTGTGGAGACTTGCACTTACGATCGGGAGAGCTGGTTAAATCGAGGGAACCTGCCAATGTTAGCTTTTCGGCATCAGTCATCTTCAAACAAGCAGCCATTCTGTCATCAGTCGGGCAGTTGACCTTCAAAGCAACCTGGGCAGAGGGTTCAGATAATCTTCAATTAATATTCTTGTTAATTATTCAGAAAAATAGTGTTAATGTGTTAGAGAAGCTGCGATGTACCTCCTCAGCGAACCTACGGGGGTTTTTGTTGATACCCCAAGGGCAAAGAGCAACCCCACTCTGGGAGATGGCTCTCCTGATCATTCCTTTGTTGTGGGGAGTTAGAGTCTACAGATGAACAAATACAGATGTGTTACATCGACCATCTATCTATCTTTTAACACAATGATCAAGATGCCTAGAAAAAAGGTCCTCACCTGGAAGCTCACACTAGCTGAACCTGCAGACTCTCCAAAGATGGTGATGTTGTCAGGGTCTCCTCCAAATGAACGGATGTTTCTGTGCACCCAGGCGATGGCAGCCTGCTGGTCCCACAGACCATAATTTCCTGAGAAGGATCAAACATAATTCACTTCATGGAAATAATTCATATTTTCATGTAAGAATTTTTGAAGTTGGCAGTGCCAACATCTACCAGACACCTACCAGGCAAACCGGAGTCTCCAGTGCTCAGGAAGCCCAGAGTTCCCACACGGTACCCCACTGTCACCACAATAACATCACCTCTGTCTGCGATCTCGTCCCCGCTGTACAAATAGTTATCCAAAAAGTTAGCACCCATTGAGTCTCCAACCAGGAAGCCTCCTCCGTAGAGCCAGACCATGACGGGCAGATTAGTGGACACTAGAGGACAAAGAGACAGCTGTAGTGTT